GATATGAATCAAATTTTTATATTATTTAATTGTACTGTACAGTAGATCAATTTTAAAATTTACATTTTCTATAACTATAATATTAACCTTATAATGATTTCTTATTTTTAGTTTTTACTCAGCTTTAAATTAGATTATGGTTAGATTTGATCAAGGTTATTGAGATGCAGACTTTCATTTAAGTTTATATGTTTGAATGAAATTTCCTTTTCACGCAATATATTAATCAAATTAAAGCTTGCTAGTTTATTTGAATTACTCTTCTGTGCCAATATTATGCTCGGGAACAGTAGTTTGTCTATAGTTAGGGCTGCCCTCACTTCGACCCGACCCTCAAGCCAACCAACTTTTGATTTGACCATGGACGTATGTATGGTTCTATATGCAAACTCTGGGTATTCAACTTTGATTGCCAAACAATTATAGATTATTTGAAGATTTTCAGGCAAATAACAATTTACAACATTTGCTCCTGCTAATTAATTTAAAATTTAATATTAATACAGTAATACAATATTAGCTTTCAATTAAATCTAGAGATTATAAATTAAATCTTATAAACAAATTTTTTTATTTAACTTACGTTGACAATATGCTTGACTAATTTGCCAACTAGTATTATTCAAATAACTATTATCAAACTCATCATGCCACACTAGTTTCAATGTTTTATTTAAAATATTCATTTCACTACTCACTCCCATTATTAATATCAGGTACAATATTATTGTTATTTTCATAATTAACAGAAAGTGAAATAAATACTAACATTAAAATATTAATAATAACATTATATGTTTAACATAAATATTGATATGATAATATATGATGATATGATATTATTATGATAATAAATAGTATAATTTATGTTAAATATTAAAAACATTTATTCACTTCCTTTACAACAAACTAAGTATTTATTTTAAGTACTAACAAACTCGACAAATAATTTATTTTAATTAACAATATATAAAAATATGTACATATAATTTTATATTAGTTCACATTATAATAAAGGAAATGTATGTGTTTGTTAGGACTTATTAAAAAATTATTCAAAACAAAAATCTTATAATAAAGTATTTTGAAAATGCTTTGCACAATAAACAAATTTTTACTATATTTTTATTAAATGCTATTTATAATAAATTCTTTAGGTTTTACAATTATTTAATTTAAATTATACAACACTAAACATTAATTAAAAATTAATTTTCTAACTCAAAGTTAAATTTTTAAAAATAAGTTTTTAACTAAATAATTTTTTAAATTAAGTAATTTACATAAATATTAATACAAATATGAATGAAATAAATACAAAAAGTTTACATAAATATATTTGACAAACTATTACATAAAATATTACTATGTATAGTTTAATAATGCTTTTTTAAATCTTTCATATATAATAATGTGTATTAAATATTTATTAATAACATTACAATTCATTTACAAACTACAGCTTAATCAGATAAATCTGATAATACATAATCATAACTAGGAAACATTTCTGTATTAAACACATAATTATATGCAATTAATCAGTAATAGCAATTTAATCTTATTATCAAAATTCTCACAAATTGTTTCGTAGCTATTAATTGTAATGTTCACATCATACTTACATACATTTTTAGCAATTTCTATATAAGCTATCACTAGTAGTGGGGATGTCGTATTCATCAACCTTATCGTAATCATCATTAATCTCATAATACTTATCGTCATTCACTTGGATGTCGTCGTAACCAAACTCTAAAGAATTTTCTTTATGAATCTTTTTCAGCCTCTTATGTCTAATACACACATAGATTACAATTACAACCAAAATCAATACAATGCTTATTATTGCGATAATTAACATCTTTAACGGACTCCAAGTTTGATCTGTTAAACTCAGAGCCGGTTTCATAGCAGACGTAATGCCGTTACAAATCTCTGCCGCATTTTTTGGGGCATCTTTTAATTCATTAGTCGACTGTACCTTGCTCACGTTACTGTTCCATTGATACAAACGCCAATAATCAAGGATAAGTGCCGGACAATCTGAGCCGTGATACTTATTTTCATCAGGTTCCTTATGACGCGTATTATTTAATAAAATGCCCAATTCAATGTATAACGTTTTGTTACTAGGCAAATTGAGCCCCATACTAAATATACTGTAAGGTTTTTCCAGGGTAATCAGATCGATATCATCCATGCCATACACCATATGAGTCTCGTTCCATTGGATAACGTACCGGTGAAATTGGTTCAATTTGAGTGAGGTGTAAAATTTGCTCATAGCCTGGGACAATCTACGTTCATCATCTGGCGACAGTAAATATTGTGCGGATATGTCGTGGACGGGTGTGCCATCAACATTAAAATAACTCATCCCATTGCCACGGTCATTGTCGTAGGCCAATAACACGTACGGGTTTATGGATATATCTCTGGGTATGGCCAGCCTACTTTCTATTCTAGCACGTTGGAACAAATCTACGGTATCATTGGTTAATATGTACCCTCCTGAAAACTCAGTTTGCATGTCGCTACCATTGATCGGTCGTACTATGACTGAAATACTAAAATCTTTAATCCGTAACTGTTTGTAGTTCGAAGTACACCTTTCGCCCTGAAAGAACCTGGCTATCAGTCAAACAATGTCAATTATCAATCTAAATTATTTATTTATTTATTTTCTAATTGGTGTTTAAATATTCAATGTATACATACTGTTACAGCCATTATATGTGTAATACTTGGAGTTATCAATGTTAAGGTACTTATCGAAGTCATCGTTCCATAACACCTTCCAGTGACCATCGATTTGATTATTAGCACCCATTTGCTTCATAATTATTAGATTAATTAACAAATAACTAATAATAATTAATTTATTCATAATTTATGTAGTATAGCAGGATATTACAATTTCAATACATAAGTACATTTAAATAGAAATTTACTTGTCTAAACATTTGTTGCACATTATCATAAGACTAAATGACAATATCGTATAAAACGGAAATGCATTTTATTTTATTTTTAGTAATTAATTGGAAATCTTTAAAATATTTTATATTTTATATAATAATATAACAACTTTTTTATAATTTACTGATTAGTAAATATAACAAATATAGTATTGATAAATAAAGAACAATTAATTAGATATTGTTAATTAGGGTATTAAAAATATTTTTTATTATCAATTTAATTAACAGTCATTTTCCAAACTTTGTGTCAGACCACTAGTAGAGGGAACGTCATATACAACGGGATAAATCTTATCGTAACCTTCATTAGGCTTATCGTAATCTTCATTAATCTTATCATAATCTTCATTAATCTTATCATAATCTTCATTAATCTTATCGTAATTATCGTCATTCACTTGAATGTCATCGTAACCCAAATCTAAAGCATTTTCTTTATGAATCCGTTTTAACCTCTTATGTCTGAAACACACGTAGATTACGATTACAACCAAAATCAATACAATACTGATTACTGTCATAATTATTAACTTTAATGGACCCGAAAGGGAAGACCTGTTGTTTATACTCGCCATCGGATTAATGTCAGACACTATAGCCTCGCAAATCTCTGTCGCACTTTTAGGGCTATCCCTTAATTCATGTGCGAATTGCGCCATGCTCATATTTTCAACCCATTGATAAATACGCAAATAATCCATTATAAGTGCTGGACAATTTTTACCGTAAAAATTATTATAATCACGTTTTGTATGTAGTTTAGCATTCATAAAAACTCCAAATTCTACGAATACCGTTTCATCATCAGGCACATCTATTTCACTAATGGACGCATTATCGAGCCTATCATACGTGATGAGGTGGATGTCGTCGAAACTATACTCCACGTGAGTTGCGTTCCAATGCACTTCATACTTGTGAAATTGATGCAAACTGAGCGTGGTGTAATATTTGTCCAAAACTCTCTCCACTGTCTGTTCCCGTGCCGGTGACAGCAAAAACTTGTCGGATGAGCCGTCAATTTTTAAACTACGTATTTGACTTGTAGTATGTGACTCGTTAGCACCTTGGTCATTGTCATGCACCAGATACACAAACGTATTGGCTGATATTCTCTTCGGGAGGGCTAACCTCATCTCTAGGCGCCCGCGTGTTAGTATATTCAGGGTTTGTTTGGTCAACACGTGTCCCGCGGAAAACATGTGTTCACCGCTTCTTTGATGACCTACCGGTCCTATCAATACTGACATACAGTCGTCCCTTATTAGTAAATGTTTGAATGTCCTGTTACAATTTGGTTCATCAAAGAACCTGGCTATTATTGGTAAAATATCATAATAAATACCGTAATATTCATGTAAATAATCTCATTAATTATTTTGGATAAAACAGGACATACTGTTACAGCCATTATATGTGTAATAATTGGATTTGTCGATTTCCAGGTACTTTTTATTTAGTTCATGTTTCCATAACAGTTTCCACTGACCACTAACTTGATGATCAGTATAAGTATGTTTTACAATTATCAAATACACTAAATTATATAAAATTGGTTTATACATATTTAATTAATAGTTACAGGAAATTAAAATGTTGAAAAATATGATAAAAGTTGTATTTAAATAAAGGTTTTCATATTTTACAGTATTTCTTGATAATAAGGATATGAATCAAGTTTTTATATTTTATAAGTGTCGATCAATTTTAAAATCTACATTTTCTATAATTATAAACCTTATAATGAATTTTTGTTTTCCAGCTTTTACTTAGTTTCACATAATAGGATGAAACAAGTATTTAATTTTATTTAGCTATTGGACGAAAATATTATTAGGATAAATTTACAATAATACAGAATTCAATGATATTTTAATCAATATTATCAAAATACATTATCAATACTAAAATATAAATTACATAAATTACTGTAATTTTTAATCCCTAGAAATAGACATTTTTATAAATTTTTCAGAAATCACTTTCAATATTTAAAAATTGTTTTATTCAACGATTAATTAATTTAACTTTTACTTTAGTATAAATTTATTTTGCTTAAAACTGTAGTGTATCACCAAAGTGGTCAAATTAACAGTAAATCTAATTAACTCTTATCAGCCCTCTCTGTGAGCCTACGAGTCCTCTCTTCAATGGATTTCACTGCCTTTGAGTTGATTTCGTCGAAATACGGCATCTCTTTGGCGGTGATCTCTGAATACCAGTGCCTGACGTGCGTATAGTCGGCCAACTCTTCGGTGGTTACCGTCAAGAACTGCGGTATAAGTGAGAGGTCGGCGATAGTCAAGTGTTTGCCGGCGCTGTAACCGCCGTTTTTGTCGATCATAGAGTCCAACACAGTTAGGCTGTCCTTCAATGTCGTCAGTTGTTGTTCAGTAGGTTTGGCCCCTTTAGTAGAGTTATTTGTAACCAGTTTTGTTATCTATGAATAAAATATACAATTATTTACAAATAAAATCAAATATCAATCAACTCTAACATAATATCAATAGTAAAATGGTATTATTTTACCTACTATAATCTATAAATAGATATATCAAGGAATCAATTTAAAATTAAACCTGTTCATATAATTAATTGGGTACAATACCCGAACGGCTTTAAGTGCGGGCGCCAGTGTGCCTAGGTCAAAGTCTAGCACCATGTCCACTTTGGCCCTTTCAGCCGGGTCTGTGGGATAAAGTTGCGAATTTCGGCCGTACTTGTTGCNCCTGTTCATATAATTAATTGGGTACAATACCCGAACGGCTTTAAGTGCGGGCGCCAGTGTGCCTAGGTCAAAGTCTAGCACCATGTCCACTTTGGCCCTTTCAGCCGGGTCTGTGGGATAAAGTTGCGAATTTCGGCCGTACTTGTTGCACAGGTATTGAATGATTGCACGACTTTCCCAGATAACTACACCCTCGTCCTCGAGTGTGGGAAGGGTATGTCGTGGGTTCAGCTATGAATTCAATACATTTCATTCAAATTCTTTAGACTCAACACTAGATTCTGGACTCACTTTAAGGAATTCCGGTCGCAGTTGCTGTTTGTCCACTAAATCCACGTTCACTTCGTGTAAATCAATGCCCAGATGTTTGGCTACAAATAGGACTGACCGACAGAAAGGACTCGAATAATTCAAATATAATTTGGTTGTCATTTCTTAAGCCAATCAAGAATTTCAATACAAATAAAATGTTTGAAAACTATGTGAATCTCAATATATGTTTCAAAAATGCTTGAAAAATAATAACTATTTTTTGCAAACACTTCAGTGAAACAGATTTTATGTTTTATGATAAGTGTTTGTAAACGTAGTTATCATTTATTAATAGAGTTATAAAAACCTATTTCTAGGCATATGTTTAATACCAAGGGGTATAACAGGTCTACCCCTACATCTTATTACAAACTAAATGTGTTGTAACTGTAAATAGAAGTGCTTTTCTAGCCATAAATTTCTTATCCGTTGGTATAGTTTTACTGATAATAGCAGCCAAATGAATGACTCATTAAAAACTTATTTCATTACTGAATTAATATTACATTTAGTATTTTAATTTATAAATAATTAAAAACAAGTTATTACTTTTTTAAAAATCTGTATTCTGTTTGAACTTGATACTAATTATAACTATTTAAAAGCATTTCTAGTTTACAAATTGTAAATCACATTTAACATTAACTTGTAAAGACATTAAATTTTATTCTGTGAATATCGTATTAATAAATAACTTATCGTATAATGTCTAGTAGGAAGTTTATATATAAATTATCTATGTTTTGTATTAATGAACTTTTAGTACAACTAAACTTGTTCTTATGTTTTAACACAAGTATTATTTTAATTATGATTATTTGATAACATNATAACTTATCGTATAATGTCTAGTAGGAAGTTTATATATAAATTATCTATGTTTTGTATTAATGAACTTTTAGTACAACTAAACTTGTTCTTATGTTTTAACACAAGTATTATTTTAATTATGATTATTTGATAACATTATTCTATAGTATAATATTTCAATTGGTTTTAATATTTAAATCAATGATTTAATTATAATAATGAAAAATTATAAAAAATAAATCCAAAACTCTTGAGATAAACAAAATACTGATAAATAACTGTCAACTAAACCTACAATTGATAAGAAAACAGAGAAAAACAAAACACTTTTCACATAATTCTCTTGCAATTCAAACAAAACTCAAGAATTCATTCAAAAAACAGTCAAAACTTTATTCAGTATTTCGTTTTCATTCGTTATTTTCACTGATTTTTGGCCATTTCTTGCGCCCTCTTCTTATACGTCTCGATAACCGTTGCCTTGAATTCGTCGAAAAACGACAACTCCTTCGCCAACCGCTTATACCAGCCCTCGATGTTTGGGTACGGCTTCAGGTCGTAGTCCAGGTATAAAATGCTGCCCGAGTTGGCCAACAGCGACAGGTCAGCGATCGTCAGGTGATTGGCCGCCACATAACCGCCATTCCTCGCGATCAATGTGTCCAACACCTGAAGGGTGTCCTGAAGGGTCTTCAGCTGCTCTTCGGTCGGATCGACACCTCGGAACGCCTTCGCTGTCTGTTCAGGAAATTTGGTATCAGTTTTGGTTTCAAAACACAGAATATTCTGTCGTTTCTCAAAGAATATTCTGCGACTCACCAGAGAGTTCCTGAGCGCCGGCCCCCACGAGCTGAGGTCGAAGTTGAGCACCACATCTACTTTGGCCCTCTGAGCCGGGTCTTTGGGGTAGAGGGCGGAGTCGGGCGCGTATTTGTTGCACAGGTATTGGGCGATCGCACGCGACTCCCAAATACCCACACCGTTGTCCTCCAGAGTGGGCACCGAATGGCGCGGATTGAGCTGCGAATGGGAACGGCGTGTGTGTCATATAGTGGACAGGTATGTCTTGAACGTGACTTACCTTCAGGAACTCCGGCTTCCGGTGCTCTCCGTTCTTCATGTCGACGACCACTTCATTGAGTTCGATGCCTAGCTGTTTGGCCACAAACACGACTGTCCGACAGGGAGGGGATGTGCGACTCAAGTACAGTGTGGGCGCCATTACTCTCAGGATATTCTGCGGTTTGTCTCTCTGTTTGTCACTCTATTTATACACTATTTTCAGACGCCTTTCCGATAGAGACTTAACTCAAGAATTTCTTATCGAAAAACGTATTGAAAGATAGCATTGAATTCAATGACAAAGCTTTGTGTAAAATAATGTCATTTTATATCTTTTTTTTCTATTTTCAGACGCCTTTCCGATAGAGACTTAACTCAAGAATTTCTTATCGAAAAACGTATTGAAAGATAGCATTGAATTCAATGACAAAGCTTTGTGTAAAATAATGTCATTTTATATCTTTTTTTTGTACTTTTAGTTCTGTTTAGTCATTTGTGGATTACAATAGACTTATTGTTTGTCTTTTTATTATTGAAATTCAATGAATTACACATTTTTTAATCGTTTTATTTATACATAAGCCTAGAGTCCACATAAACTGATTACGTGGTTTTACACGCACCGGGAGGTTGTGGTAACCCATAGTTCTTGTGTATAAACCGTACTTCAATTGAGATAACATTTCATTGAATAACAAGAACTCAGAAACCAATGATAAATGAGATTTGAATTTAGTTTTTATTTTTGAATTATTTGAACACAACTTTTGAAAAACATTTCAATCAATACTTCTGTTAATACCTGTGAGAAGACTGCAAAAACGCTGTCATAAGTGGCGGTCCTTAACGACGACAAAGCGGTCGATAATCTTTCCCTTCTGTCCGTCCAATCAAAGCAGTTGTCAGTAAAATAGGAAAACCCTTTGGCGCAGGAAATACCTGATCGTCGGACACCTGTTCCAGCGACACGTGAGTCTTGTTGTGGACAGTCATCCGAGTGTAGCCGTAATCAGTGCTGCGAAAGGCCGACCAATCGGGAACGTGTTTGCGGAACTTGGCGTGATGTTCGTCGCATCCCTGTCCACACAACAGACAAAACCATACTACCAGTCCTGTCAATACACTGCAACACTTACAGCACTGCCGGTGATGACAACCACCGGTCCCTTCGGGTTGTGGTAGGGATGGGCTGTGGAGCCGTTCAGCACGTGATTGTCGTAGACGGGGAACAGGCGCTGGTAGTTGTGTTCGTGTCCGTAGAGCTGGATGTCGACGCCGTACTTGAAGAACAGCGCTTCCAATCCGTACTTCCTTTTGCCCGATCCCTGCATTTTGATGCCTTTCCTGAGACGCCGTCTCTGGAAAGCGTCGGAGCTGTCGATCGGCGAACACGAGCGGTCGTCAGTCATGCAATACAACGGCTTGTGAGCCATAGTTATAATCCACGGCCGCTCAGCCCTACTCTCAGGAGAGTTGGCGGCGCGGAGGTCGTCGACCAGCCATTCGTATTGCCGGCGGATTTGGTCCCAACCGAAGTCCGTGTAATAGTAGTATTCAGTGGACAGGGAGACGAAGTGCGCCGGACCCATATTGAAGCTGTAGAAGTGGTTGTTTAGACTCCCGGTGCGCGAGTCTGTCATCGAGAAGCGGTGGTCGTAGTGCGAGAAGTTGCTGTCGGGGACAGGGAGGTCACCTCTGAGGGGAACTGGAGGTCGAAATACTCACTATTTGTGCTCATGATTGCCGGGACACACCTGATAGGGAACGTAGGCCGCGATCGGCTCTATTAAGCGCATGAAAGCGTCGCCGACTTTCCCGTTGTCCTCAAAAGCGAGACAAAAGTCAGAGGAAAGGCGTTTTCGGGGAAAGGCTTACGGAATGCAGATTGTAGGCAATGTCTCCCACGTGCAGAATCGCGTCGTACATCCCGCGCCTGACGTCCTGTTCCAGTCGGGGAACGGACTGTGCGTTGGCGGCGCCCATATCGCCGAAGACGGCGAATCGCGGCGACCAATGAGAGCCCTTAGTCTTCGCCCGGAAGTGATAGACAGCGCTCCAGCCGTCGTCACTTCCGCAGTGATATTCTGCGCGAAACAGATGTTTTGAAAGAGACTTTTGGCGCCAAAAGACGGCTTACGATAGGTTTGCGAAGGTTTCAGGTCTTTGACGACAACTCTGTGGACATAAATGTGTCGTTTCTCGTGTCCGCCGTCCGCGAAACGCGAGGAGTGGCCGAACGCCTTCATCGACAGGTCGTCGATGCCGTACTCGACGCACGGCTTTCCCGATATGTGGTGTCCAGTGACCCACGTGACCACCATCTCAGTGGCGTCGGCTATAGGGTAGGCGTGGGAGGCGTTAGCGAAGGGAAAGGATGTCAGAGAGGAGACAGACCTCCGAGCGAGAGATGGATTTGTGTCGGCCTTTCCGACAGATGCGTTGAGAGCGCCGGCAGAAGAATGGACGACCAGAACAGAGCTGTCATCAGGAAAGACATGTCGAAAGTGGTGTCCCTTTGGAGTGGAGGCAAAGGATTGTCTCCAAAAACAAAGGGTTTTCTCTTTAATCACAAGATTTTAAAGTTCTTGCGATAAGAATGAAGCGATTGATAAGAAATTCTTTAAACATTTTTCTGTCGACTCTTTGAGTGCTTTCTTTCACTCCAAGTGTTAAACAAATATCAAAAACAAACGATTTCTCAATCGATAAACACTTAAGAGATTTTGAGTTTAACTTTAAAAATGCCAATAATTTCAATGAAATGACAATTTCTTGTTCACAAAACTAGACTTTTGTTTGCAATCAAACACCGAATCAATAGTTTGTGTGTTTTATGGCATTTTGCAGTGAATTCATTGAAAAACAAAATAAGTCTTGTTTTTATTGCCAAAAAAGTGTTTAATTGATTAACTGATGGTTGGGTTCAATCACTCGCAGGAACTGGACTTTGGATTTGTTTTTCACACCAAATGACAGTAAAAGAAAAATGAGTTAAAACTCCGAGTCTTTTGACTTTCAATACACAAAGAAATCAATCAAAACTCTGAATAACAGTAAAAAGTACTGAAAATTGTGTCAAAAATTGATTTTTTGCATTCAATAGGAAAGTCATTGATTTTAAACGCACTTAAAATAACACAAACTTTGCAATACCTGTAGCCATAGACACACACAGACACCTGTGCGCTGACCTCCAGACCCGCATCGGGAGGGCTGTCGTGTTGAGAAACACATAACACTTGCATTTTTACAACAAAACGTGTTTTTATTGAATTACTCGAGATTTGTCACCGGATTTGGCGTCATTTCCGTCGCCTCTCTTTCCGGGAAACAAGTCGTCGACAGCGCGTCCGACGCACACCGATTCGCACCGGCCTCTGATCACCAGAAGCGCCAATCCGTTGGGATAGGAGTCCACTTGAGTGACGCCTTCCGAGGAGTCGCACCGGCCTTTCACCACGCGCTGCACGTCTTCGACAAAGAGCAGACTTCCGTGGCATTGGCCGCCGATTATTGTTCCCATTTTGTTAACAATAATCGAGCCTTTGATGGAAAGAGGAGTTCAGAGAAAGACTTTCATCGAAAAGGCAAACCGTTTCTGTCGATGAAAGAGTTGTAGTTATTTGTCGTCAAAAGCGGAACCGCGTGTCGACTGCTGTTAAGAGAGAGGCCGTAATGGAGGTCGCGATCGGACGTCTGGACGCGGATCTCATTGCACAGGAAGTCGTCGTCGAGAAAGCGCTTCTCTTTGCGGACTTTCGTCACGGAATCGAAGAACGAGTCGACGCAAGCGAACGATTCTCTGCCATACAAGTACTGGACATCCATTTCCTTTCTCTGCTTCTCATCCACAAACCGTCTGTCCTCTACTGCCTCTACAGAAACAGTAAATGCCGTGAAAAGAACCGAAAACTCTCGACTGGTTTACCCCAAAATCGGCATTTGATTTGAAAAATTAGGCAAAAGTTGATGAAAACAAAAACCAAAAACATTTTCGTCACAAAAACACATAAAATAAAACATCGAAAACAACAGATTTTTTGGGTGAAAGAAAACTCATTTAAAAGTTGAATGACTTCTAGTTTTCATAGACACCAACATGTCTGGAAAACGGAATGCCTTTTAATGTCTTTTATTAATCAATTGTTTGTTAATTACTATACAATCACATGATTTATACTAAAAATTCATTCAATAATCAGTGCATTAATTGCTGTAAAACTAGTTCTCAATGAAAAAACTGTTTTCAATCTCACGTTTCAATGACTAGTAATTCGTGTTTCGGTTTTCGGTGTCTTTCGGGTCATTGTTTTCGCGCTTTTATTGCAATTCTTTGAGCGAAAAAAACGCGTTTTTATCTCAGAAAACGAGAAATACTTTTCGCGCGAGAAATTCAAATTCAAACGAAACGAAACGCTTTCTCGCGAAACAACAAAACAAATAACAAATAATAATGAGTAGAAAATGCGTGCAAACAATGCGAGGCGAGTGAAGCCGTCGTCTGATTGGCTAACGTTTCTCTTCGGGCGACGAATGATGTCATAAATCGGGAAAACGGTTCGAGTCTTCCGTGAAATCGGCGGGAATTTCAAACAACGCGTCGGAGATGTCGTCGTCCAATGAGAAGGACAGGAATGTTATGCGCGCCGTCACTGTCGGCAGAATCGGAATATCTGTGAGAGAGAGGGCTGTTAGTTGTTGTCTGGGATTGAAGGGGAACGGGAGGTAGGGAGCGGACAAGGCGTCAGAAACGGAGTGTAAAGTCACTGAAGAACTCATAAGAGGTCTGTAGCGGTTGACTCGATCTCATCACGGAATGGAGTGAACGGGGAGAACGGGAACGGGAGGCCAGAGAAAGACAAACCGATTTTGACGGGGAATCCGGGCGGAAGTTTCATTTGAACGAATTCTCGCAGTTTATTGAAGTGCTTGAAGGGAGCGATCACTTCGAGAACGTTCAGCAACGAGTCGACAGTCATCGGGAACTCTTGGCTCTGTTTGGCGGCAAAGGAGTCACAAAAAGGCCGCAAAGAGAGAGAGAGAAGGCATACCATCGCGAGCGTCGCTTTGAACGCTTTGGACGTCTCTTTGCAAAGCGGTTCTCTTCCGAGCGGTCGGTGCTGTCCGGGTGGGGCGTCGATGTACTCGTCCCACGTGACAGTCGTGGGAGGCGGCGGAGTCAGCGATTTGCGGCGCTGGACAGTCGCCTCTGCGCCGCCGTTCAGAGCGGCCGCTCCCGTCTTGTTGTCATCGCCGTCGTCTTCGCCATTGACAACTGCCGGCGTCATTCCTCCGCCTTTCGTGAGGCCGTCGATGAAAGCCTTGTTCTTCTGGAGGTCTTCGTCGGTGAGGTGTTCGCGGCGTTTGCGGGACTCGAGATACAGACCGCCGATGGCGTAGAAGTCGGCCATAAAGGTGCCGACGCGCTCCGACCGGTCCTCGCGCCACAACCAGCCCGACTGCGCGCGCGAGAAGGTAATCGATTTGGTGGACATCTGCGCGTTGACAATGTCCGAAGACATGAGAAGATCCACTTCGTCCTCGACCTCCGCCTCCGAGTCCTCGTATCGCACGCGTTGAAAGACACGGAGTTTATTGTCGACGACTG